TACAGTATCTTTCAACTGCTAATTCTGATTTGGGGCTTAACTTCTGTTGGAATTTATGTACATCTTGGTGAGATTAGCGTTTTCTGTTGATGCGCTTGAGAATGGTATCTGGGTGTATCCCATAGGCGAATGCGCTAGCTGAGGGGCTCCCGTAATATTCAGATTGATGTCCACTGATGGCGTCCTGTATAATTCGTTCTTTGGCTTGTCCACGGGGCAATGGCGGCATGGTAAGTGGGTGTATTAGGAATAAGGGGCCACGGGGCGTAGGGGCGAGCTGATTTTTGGGTGTTCACAGCAGAATCGTTGATCCTGACCAATCAGAAATAGGCGGTGAGGCGTACGCACGAGCCATTTCAAATACCCCGTCGATTTCAAGAACCCCCTCAAATACTCTAGCTCCCACGACCACCTAGCTCCCACCCACGACCACCTATTTCCCACGGCATAGCAATCAACGAGCACTGCGTCCTTCCTCGAGAGCAGCCTATCTTGTTCTCTACCGTAGTTAGCAGACAGCACGACAGCATCTAAGACCAAGGTTTGCTGGATTGACGGTCAGGGCGCACGCCAGCAACGCCCTAGCACCCTCTCTGCACACGTGATGTTGCGCCCTGGCCCTCGTGTGGCCTCCAGTGGTCGCCAGCGGACCCCGACCGTCCTTATCAGCACCCTAGGCCAGAGTGAGGCCCAATACTAAGAAGCAATCAGTGCGCGAGAGGGCTGCTGGTGTGCTGGTATTCTGGTGGAGAGAATGACAGAGAGAAGGTGATGGCGGTGCTCTGATGGAGAGAGGAGGAGGAGAGTCACAGCTATAGGATGGAGAGACAATTGGAATCCTCAGCGGATTCTGTCCCGATAAACGATCGAGAGTACTTAAGGAAGAAGAACTCTAGTTGATATTTATTACTGTTAATTCTTACTTCTTTCTCAGCCGACTCTCGATTGGCTCATGTCCTTCCATTGCGTGGTCAAAGTCTTCACCAAAGTCATCGCAGCTCCCCGCAAAGTCATCGCAGCTCCCCGGTGAACTATGCTCTCATTTTTCAAACGAGAGCCTTCTAGATGTCATCTGCGCGATCGACGTCATTACCCAAACGTCCCTTGTGTCCAGACAGGAGTCTTTGGCATTTGAACTCCTCCAGTCGTCCACGTTAAGCAAACCGCGCTATAGGTCTCGTTTCCGGTACCCCCAATCCACCCAGCGTCGCGAAAGTCTTTCATGACAACGTAAACCCAGTATCTGCACTCCAACATAGCGTTACCATATCGGTAATTGTGATAGCCCTTTGCTGAAATTCGATCCAAGACGTGTCGAACATACAGTCCTTGAACTGCAGGAAACGGTATCTGATGTACAACGTCTGTTGATACATTGTAATCTAGCCGTTTCACGATCAAGGTTGCCAGTTCACCAGCGACGGGATTCGGCGACATGTCGAGGCGCACAGATCCTCCGTTGAAAACGGTTGCATGCAGCAACGCCGCTTCAAGAAATATTTAGCGCTCCAATCTCCCTAATGGAAACGCCCTTAGCGGCGTGGACCAAAGCCAGCTCTCTACCATGGTAAGCGACGCAGCGTTCGCAGACGACCCTCCGGCCTGATAGGTTCAAGTTTTTGACTCGCTAGGCAACAGTTGCGGTCTCATCTCCCAAAACACTGCAGCCTGATAAGCTGAGGCCTTTGGTGAACCGGTGAGCTGGGGTCATCACGAAATGCTATCGATACGCACCTCAAGCCACCCCATGATCTAGCCCTCGACCAACACTGGATCAAGCCGATCGGTGATATAGTAGCAGCCACCCTGTTTGGCAGATCGCCCAGAAGCCCATTGAGTGGTTCAGTTATAATAGAAGGCAACGAGTTTCGAAGCATCGCAACGGTCTCGCGCGACGGACGGTTTGAACGGCGCGGCGTCGAGGCGCCCGCGCCGGCTCAACTGCCGACTTGGCTGCTAGGCGGGCTGAAGGTGGTTTATTCGCCCAACGCGAGGGAATGTACATTCGATCCACTAACGCGCTCTGCCCCAAAAGCCAGGTCCTCGCTGGCGCTTGTTCGGGCTAGTATCGCGGTGTGCGTGGATATGGTGGCAAAATACTTGAGCATCGGTCCGTGAATGCATAAAACCTTGAAGCGCACGCCACCCAATCAGGTGGAAGTCGTGGCGCCTGTCTTGGCGTGTAGGAAACGCGTCCGCCTCAGCGCCTTTCAGCCTTTCCTTCATGAGCGCTTCAACGACAAAGACGACACCGTCATTCACCACCGCACCGCCGCCAATCGCACTGCCGCCGATTAAATTTACCACAACCTCACTCCCGTTATCCTCCCCTACCGCCATCCATATATACATACATACATACACGCGCCATTTGCTGATTTCACACGCCTCGAATACCCATCCAAGCTGTGCGCTGCGTGAACAAAGGTGCGCCCCGTGAACAAAGGTGCGCCCCTACTATTGTGGCCGGTACAAAATTGCTGACATTCTTCGTCTTCAGAGCGCTCCGTCCAGCCCTGAAATACCAATCCCACTCCTTGTTACGTTATGGACGACTCAGGCTCTTGTCGTTATCTGCTCGACGGAAGAGATCTAGCGACTGTTAGCAACCTTGAATTTGTTCAAGCCTCCAAGAAATGTCCCGTTATCTGTAACGAAGGAACAAACGTCGTGAGGATTACAAAGACTGCGGCTATGAAAATAGGCTTTGGAGTCCTAGAGCAGGAGGCTTTAGCTATGAAATACGTCTACGAACATTCTGACGGACGGATACAACTACCGCGAGTCTATCGAAGTTTTGTTGCAGAAGGCAAGGGCTACATTGTTATGGAATTTGTTGATGGGAGTTGTTTAGATGAAGTTCCGTGGAGGAACCGCCCTGTTCAAGAACGACAAAACATCATCCACCAAGTCACGGAAGCTCTTCTTTCTCTCCAAAATATGCGAGGCAACAGCCCTGGCCCAATCGGACTAGGGATTCCCACCGGCGGACTTTTCACCGTTTATGGTGCTGGCACAGCGTTCACAACAGTAGCCAATATGGAGCAATGGTTTAACAGGAAGCTGGATATATATGGAAACGGGAGTGTCTCAGGCAAATTTAAAGATCTGGTAATGTGTCATGGATATTAGTCTGAGGAACCTAATGCTAGATAAGACTGGGAGACTGTGGATCCTTGACTGGGCTTGGGCTGGCTTCTTCCCGCCAGAATTTGAAAAGGCAGGTCTTCTACACAGAAGAGTAGATCACCCCGATTTTGAATTCATTCAGGAACTGCTATGTGAGCTTGAACTTCTAGGTCAGGACGATGCGCTATTAGCCCTGCTGCTATGCGTATATCAGGTTAATGATGGCCCCTTTCAAGGTTCACACCTTATATAAAGAGTACGCCTCCATAAATGTAAACTAAGTCTTATATATTATCTCTTTGTTAACTAGTTAGTTAGAGTACTTACGCTCTTAGCAGCTCGAACTCTATGCGCATATTATTTTCCCCACAGTATCATGAGATGGTTTGTGTAGGAAAGGGTGCTAGTGATTGCTGGCGGAATCACCAGAAGTTGTCAAGTAGATTGAATTGAACATGAATTTATATTGAAGTGAATACGTGAGTTTATATACGTGATAACTTGTAGAGTAACGTGACGTTGGAGTAGCTACGTAGTTCGGAGCCGTACGGAAGCTGACCCTGTATATACGTACTTCATACATAGGAAGGTGTATAGATCTACACGAATCGACGATGTAGACCCGGAGTTTGTACCGAGCCTATAGATTGTATAGATCTTCATAAGGATCTGCACGTCAAAGCTTTTGCGAGGCCATGGAGGCCATAGCCGTCTGTCACTTTGTTTCAATATAGATAAAGATCCCCAAAGCCTCGCGAAAACTAGATTGATGTGATTAAAAAGAAGAGACCCCCTTATAACCTGGCCAGCTTCAACCTACCGAAGCAACTGGACGACGTACCTAACTCCTAGATGGCATTCCGCTCAGCTCCCCGCTCAGCTTTACGCTCAGCTCCCCGCTCAGCTCCCCGTTCCAAATGCTACCGAGGTGCTGGAGTCCGGTCCGCAAGACGATATACTGCGAACGTCTATAAGTTATATAATTTTTTTGTATTGCATTTTCGACTGCGTTTCTCAAACCGATTGGAAGGGCACGTGTACTTGAGTGGCGCACTTTCTGAACTAACGAAACTCCCAACCGCAACCTGTCAATCACCAGTGCGTGCTCAGTAGGTATTTTTGTGCCGAGATGCCGTCACAAGAGTCGGACTGGGACTTCCTAATGATGCGGCCCGGGAAGTAGGACATGGACATGACCTTCAGAACACATACGGTCCGAGTGGGAAGAGCGCAACACGATTATCATCAATTCCATCATAAAGCCCCCTACCGTGCCTTTCCTCTTACATTCGAATCCTTCCTAATTCCACTGCGGCTCGCCCCCTCACCGGAGCCGAAGCGCAGGCTGCTCGCGTCCTTATCGAAGAAAGGAAGCTCGACGAGATCCGCCTTAATAACCTCTTCAAAAAAGAGGCCCCCTCCATCGGCAACACGACCCAGCAGAAGTTTATCTCTTGGGTATCGACAATTGAGGGCATGTTCGAGGTCCAACAGGCTATCAACTGCCACCGGCGCTCCCGCTGGGCGCTGGATGGGCAGGAAGGAGCAAGCGCTGAGCTCGCAGAGCGTCACAAAATCAGATCGGAGTCTGGTGGAGAGATGCTCTGGGCTGAAGTGAAGGACATCATACAGAATATCATTCGCGACCCCGTCGTGCGTCGCTTTGAGACAGCGTACAAATTCCACTCTGCTTTTCAGCAGGACAGTCAGTTGTTTAATGCCTTCCTGGCCTACATCCGTCGTCTTAAGGCGCTTCTTATGTACCGTCCTTGGTCGGATGTGGACAATAAGGGTATTAAAATAGACTACTACTCCCGTTGCTTTCCTCCCGTTTATTACTCTAGCAGTATTATTAAACACTACCTGCTATAGTTACAGAATCTATAACCTAGCGTCGAGGACAATATACGCACTTTTCCGCATGCAATTAGAAATTACTAAGGCGCCACAATATAAGCCAGAAATAGTGTCTAAAGAACTAGATACTCCTCTAAATAATTAGCTACCTATAAATATATACCTGGCTGTCGCGGTGCATCCCTCGCCCCACAACCGCCACACTTATCCCGCCCGCTAGTGCAAATGCTGCCGCATTCTGGGTGAAATCCAGCATAATTAGAAAATGGTTAAAATAGATAGCAATAACAACTAAGGAAGGGACGCAAGGCGAAAGACTTACAGCGTTAAAGGCACCCGTCGCTCCACCCGCCTTGCTAACCTGCCTTTGCGCCCAGCAATAACTAGTAAAGAAGTCTGGTTTATTAAGTCCAACACCGGTCCTGTAATTAAGGAGCCGGCGCCGCCTTACCTAAAACTGCCTGGCCCTGTCCTGCTAAAACCGCCCTTATTAAGAACTTCCTTAAAGGCAGCAGGGCGGCAGAAAATTAATAAAATATCCTCCGCGGCGCAACTTAAGCACATTCTGTAAAATGCCAGGACACGCGGTTAAGGAGTTAGAATTAGAAGGTGGCGCGGAGGTTGCTAGTAGAGTAAATTAAGAAGCTAGAGAAGGGGGAGGGAAGCAGGACAAGTACTAAGGCGAGGGAGGCGGCAAAGAAAAAGAGGCGGAGAAAGTATAGGGTATTAGCTGGGGAGAAAAAGGGTGTTAGGGGAGGGGAGGAGAAAGAAGAGGGGAAATTAGGGGATGCTTATAAGGTTATATATATAATACAGTTTTCTATTAAGCGCTTCTAGCTTTTTTAGATTTCTCTACTCTCTGCCACGCTTCTATTTTATCTAACGCAGATTTATTATAACGTTTAGCAGATATAGAGCAGTCCTTGTTAACCTAGCTATATATACCTCCCGAAAAAAGTTCCTTACTAAACTTTTTATAAAAGCTAAAGTTAAGAATAATTAGATTATTATTGCTATTAAGGGTAATATTTATAGGATTAAGGTTATTATATACAAGTTTAAGGAAATAGAGGTACCTTATACTATTATAGATACTATTTATATAAGCAGCAATATTAAGATTATATAGAGTATTCTTATAATAATATTATAAGATAACTTTATATCTTTTAAGGGCGAGGCTGTTAATACAGCCGCGATTAACAATACAGCTGTAATATTTAATAATATTTAGAATTTTAAGACCTTAGCTTCTTTAAAAAGTATCTGCGGTATAAGCTTAATTTTATATTTATTATTAGTGCATAATATTTTAGGCATTTAATAAAGAGGTTCTTTTAATTAGCTTCTAATATAATAGATATCTATATATATAGCAGGTAGATCTTCTTATTAGGGATTTTTTACAGCTTTTATTTAAAATCCTTAACTATTAAGTTATACTTTTATATTCCAGGTGCCTAACTAACCTATTTAATGCTATTATTATCAACGTAGGTAAAGGTAGAGCGGAGGAATTTACCTATTTTATAATCCGTTACTTTGCTAAGACTAGTTAAATCCCTCTTCGAGCAAATACTAGGAACAGAGTTAGCTTATACCTGCTTAACAACTATATTCCTATCTAGAATAACTTATATAAGATGCTTTTTTATTATAAAGGTGTAAGGTATAACTAGGTATAAAAAGGTATAGAGGATAAAGAGGTAGTTTTTAACTTAGAGAGCTTGTACTTTTAAAAAGCATTAGTAATAGTATAGATAAATTCTTAAAAGTAGTAGAAGAAAAAATAACACCTTAGCTATTACAAAGTTTTTCCTTCTGCCGGTGCTTATAGTTATTAGTAGTAAGCTATAACGCTGCGTTTATTAACTATTAGATTAGTTTCTTAAGGCGGGAGGTAAGCTAATAAGGTTCTAATTAGCTATATATTCTTAGCTATAAGCTTAGCTTACTAGATAAGATTACACCGTAATAATTATATAAAAGGTGCAGAGTTGTTTTATCTAAGCTAGATTAGTTATTTTTTCCGACTAGAGGTACCGACTAGGGTGGCGGCCTTATATAAATTTGCGTGCGATTGCAGCTATAAGGCTGATAATAACTTCCTAGTATAGTAGTAAGGCTCTTAGACTCGGATAAAACTATTTTATAAGTATTTAGTAATAAGAGCTTAATAATAGTGCTGTAATAAAGAAATTCTGTTACGCTATAAAAGAAAGCTCTCCGCAAATTAGGTGCGAAGGCGACGATGCAAACGTAATTTTTCCGTGGGAAGGGTTATAAGGGCTCTGGAGTAGCTATAGTACACAGTTTATATAGAATTATAGGATATATTAATATATATACAGAGTCTAAAGTATTTAAAGTTAATATACACCTTAACTTTTACAGTATAGTAGGTCTTGCGCCACCTAGGAACGGACGTTACACAACTTATATAGAATAGTAGGAAATATCGATGTATATATAGAGTCTAAGTTGTTTAAAGTTAATATAACGTCCCTTACTGCGGGTCGAGAAACACCCTGCGCCGAGATAAACCTATTATTTAAGCATTTTAACTCTTTTCCTTGCGACTCTATTAAGCTATAGTTAGTGTATTATTTTTCTTAGGATACTTTCCTTCTAGAAACCAGTCTGCAGTACGAAAAATACGATAGCTTTAGTTATACTATTAATCGTTCCGTTTACGACGTCTAGATCGATTTTAGGTTTACACCCCTGCTATACAACAGCTATTAACACCTTTTTAAATTTTCGGAGTACGTAAATAATATTTCTATTATAAAAGAAGGTAGTTCTATAATATAAAGAAGCTTAGCTATTAGGAATATACGCTCCGAATTTATCCGTGTAAAATAGCCTTAAGAATATCTTAGTATAAGGAGTTAGCGTGCTTATATAATAATACGCTAGATAATAAGCTGTTACAGACTAAGGTATTAGCCGTAGAGGCCTAAGGCAAGAACTGTATTAATAAGCTTACTATTAAAGCTAACGTGTTCTATATATATATAGTAGTTATAAGCGAGTAGTAGCGCTTAATTTTTAGTGCGATTTAGACGTTTTAACACCCTAGTAACCTTAATAACTATAAAAGATTTAAATCTATAACTTAGAATAAAGATAGGAGCACCTTAGTTATCACCCCCCCTTTTTTTGCGTATTACCCCCCTTTTTTCTGCGTGTTACCCCCCCTATATTAGGCCTAGCTCCGGCCCGTATAAATATTATTCCACTAATTAAACTTACCCGCTTGCCCGCTCGTGCTTAATTCGAATTTATATTACCTGCGTACTTACTCTTAATATATTAACACTACTTCCTCTATATTATTACCTTAATACTATACCCCTCTAGCCGCCCCTTTAGGGCCGCCACGCCTTTATAGAGAATAGTATAAAGTTAATTAACACTTAGGCTAAGCAGAAAGGATACGCTATAGTTAAATATAATAAAAAAATAGATAAGCGTATGCCCCCCTAGGTGCGCAAGGTGCTAGTTTAATATAAGTGCGCAGGAGAGTATAAGCTAGCTAATAGGAAGCGCCGCACCTGTATAAAGAAGACTAATTGCCTATTTAAAGGGGCCCTTTTAAGAGATTTATTATAAGGTAATTAGTTTTTTAAGGTTAAGGTCTATACTTATAATTATAAGCTGTATAATCCTAAAAATAGAACTTCTATTGCGCACTAAAATCTTAATAAGGATACTATCCGAACTATATATAATTAGCTTAATAGAGGCACGCCTATAGGTGCTATCTTTAACAACCTCCTAGCTAAGGGCAAGAATATAATAATATAGGACCTATATAATAAGAGATAGAAGTAGAAAAAAATAAAGCTTAAGAGGCTTACTCTAACTTAGGCTATATTTAAGGTGCTTAAGGAATATAGTAATAATAACCCGGACGCTTATTACTACTATAAATATAAGCTAGATAAAGTAAACCGAGTTAAGTACCTATACTTTATACACCTGGAGAGTGTTTAGATATTCTAGAAAAATCCTAATATTATTCTTTTTAATTGCACCTATAAAATAAATAAGTTTAAAATACTACTTTTTTATATTAACAGCGTTAATAACTAGGGCAAAAACTATAAGCTAGGCTATTATTTTCTTCTAGAGGAGGAAAAAGAGGACTATATCTTTACCGTGCGGGAGCTTTACCTAGTGTGCCAGCGCCTAGGCGTTTTACCAGGCGTTTTTATTACGGATAAAGAGCTTGCACTTAAAAATACACTAGCTAAGTTCTTTCCTCTTATTTTTTAGATCCTGTGTAAGTAGTATATATAGAAGAATATTACTAGTAAGGCTATTACTATTTAGAAAAATAAGAAGTAAGTATTAGCAGATATAATAGATCTAGAGGACCTAGTATATACCTCTTAAGTGCTAATAGTAGCTAAAATTAATATTATTTAGAGAAATCGGAAGAGGTTTATTAATAAGCTTAACTTCTACCTATTAAAACCTATAGAGGCTAAGTTTATAGCTGCTTAGAATAAGATTTAATCGGATTATATATATAAGAAAGCCCTAGTTAACTACCTTACTAAAAAGTAGTGGCCTTTTTAATAGCAGATTGCGATATACTATACAGGCCTTCTGCCGCACTTTAGTAATACTATAACCTTGCGGCTAGAGGGCTTAAACAGTAGTATTAAGTCCTATTTTTAGATCTTAACAGGCGACCTCTATAATATAGTTACCCTGCTATTTTAATATATTTACTGCTAAGGTGTTAAGAGAAAGAATTAGCTTAGCCGGCAGCGTAGAGCTCCTTAGCATAAGGTTAGTATTCCTAAGTTTGCTGGGGTTCTTCGGCAGGTTACTAAGCAGGGCCTAAGGCTACTCTCTGCCTAAGTTAAGAAGGCTAAAAAGGACAATTTTAATCCTATTTATAATAGAATATTTAAGGGGACATACAGCATGCCTTGCTGTTACAAAATACATTAAAAACTGCACGCTACAGCGACATCTACGTATACTGTTGTCCTGGAGGATATTTATCAGCACTGGTGGTTTAATCGTCCCGTTCCAAACAAGGTAAACCTTCCTATCGATCCTCTCCTCCTTATCGAGGCTCCGGCAATTGTACAGCGTCGTAAAGGCAGGCCAACGGGCCCTGCTGCACCTCGTCAATCAACCCGTGGCCGTGGCCGTGCTCGTGCACCTGCTGATGCAACTCGACGTGATCCATCTTAATTCGAAATTGTTGATCAACAAGCTCCGGCGCAGCAAGCACGACGGCGTGGTGGAGGGCCAGGATCACGTGGAGGAACGTCGCATCTCCGGCAAGCTCATAAGACTACTGCTCGTGCAGAGCGAGCAGATAGTGTTGTAGGTGGACAGGAACCAACTCAATTGATGCAGATTGCAACACAGGCCACCCAAATTACTATGGCAGGTGTCTCTACAGGCACGCCGGCGGTCGAGCAGACCATTGTAGTGCTTAACAATCCTGTACAGTTTACAACTACAGCGCCAGATCGCTCCGCCGGACAAGCAGGCACTCCAACAGCTACTCAGAGCTCTATTTCCTTAGTCCCCGACAGCCAACCAGCCCCTGAGGATGCCCCTATATGCACGCCTGAGGAGGAGGCTGTTCGTGGTGAAGCAATGGCTGTGAGGCCTTAGTATACAGGTGTAGTTGGCGTTCCTTTCAGCCAGCAATTGGACAGTGGTGGCCATCTAGGCGCTTTCCGCTGGTAGAGTAGCTAGAGTAGAGTAGCTAGAGTAGAGTAGCTAGAGTAGATAGAGCGAATAGACTCCTATTGGCCTAGATGATGCAGCCTATAATACAGCCTTTCCGTTTTGTGATGCATACTCTCCATTTTACGCAGTCGACACGGAGGCAAGCGGGTGAGTTTGATTGGTGGAACAATATTTATACGGGCCGGAGCTAGGCCTAATGTAGGGGGGGTGACACGCAGAGAAAAGGGTGGTGATACGCAAAGAAAGGGGGGGTGATAACTAAGGTGCTCCTAAAGATATGCATAGCTGTTTCAATATTATAAGACAAATTTTTAGGGTCTCTTGATGGCCACATTTAGTGGTACGTCCTGTCAGGGTAGTTGTGTAGCGATAGACTGCGGAAGGCCTTCTTGATATCTGAAATATCTGCCGTACGCCCAACACCTAATTCATCGTAATACGAGCGATTCGTCATGGCGGGCGCGTCGGGAGGGTGTGAACCGTATGTATGGCGGGAGCATAAAATTTGAGAATATGTGTGTAGGTTGGTGTGATGGACGCGTTTTATCACCGTTTGCTCGCCAAGCATCTTCGACCAGATAGAGCGTAGTGCAATCGCCTTACCAATATGCTCTCTTTCCGTCCTTCACCAACACTCCTACTGACACGCTCACCTTCCTTCTCTTTCACGCTCGTCTCTCTCCGTGATCTAAGCTTGCTTTGCTTCTCTCACCCTCTCGCCGTCACTCCCAACGCACGGGCCCGCGACTGGCTCGAGTGGAGCTCGTCTCCCCAGGGAGACGAGCTTTCACTGTGCAACACTCTCCCCTCGCTCGTCTTAGACACATAGGGGTATTAATACCTTTCGCTATCTTAGCTGCTGGGTCACCAGGTGCATCGGCTAGTTATAATTGCACCTCTTTGAACTGCAATCCCGCCAAACACACCGCCTAGCTTTCTACCTAAGGCCACCATGACGTCAAAGCGGTTTCTGAACGTACTGATCTGCACGAGGACCCAAGAACAAAGTAATGAGGAGCAACGTGGCAAAATTTTCAGCGCCGGTGCCAGTAATATACTGATGTAATTACGATTGTAAAATATCGCACTTAGGTGTGCACGGGATGAAGCAGGATTGGAAATGATATCAAGCAGCAGAGTATGATTGATTGTGTGTGTGTGGTGTCTCTTGTCGGTCGGGTTACCCCGCCCGACGTTCTATATAGCTTTGATGGCAAGCTTATTAATGCAGTTCTTGCCTCAGGCCTCCACGGCTGATGCCTTGGTCTGCGACATATGGCTACAACGCGACGCCTTTATTTGTGTAAGTCACATAATCACGAAACGTGCTTCGCATCTTATTGTTCCCTTCTCGTAAATACCTTGTATAGCTACCTTAAACTACGTACTCTTTGTGACCTTAATATTGGAACATGGTATTAAGAGCCGCAATAGGATGGTTTCCTAGACCTATCTACTGGAGGGGGGGCTGTTTCAAATATAGTGGAAAGAGGATAAGTCGTGTGCGCTTAATAATGTGGAAGGCGTGCATATTCACCGGAAAGCTCAAACTTATCAACCGAACAGCTCTCTCCATGAAGTTCTGCTATATCGATAGGTGCGGGGACTTCCGCCTTAGGACTGTTGTGGTGATAATAATTAATGTTAACAGTAAGAGAATAAGGGCTAGAAGCGTTTGCCAGGAGAGCTTTGAACTGAGCACATTTTGGCCTAGAGCAAATTATTTCATTAAGTGGGTTTTTTCGAGGATCGCGGCTGCCTATAAAGCGAGCATTTAGAGCGGCCACAGTCTGGCAAGCAAGTCTTAAGTTGCTTGATTATTTTAAACTCTTTAAGTTGGCTATTTTGCTTTAATTCTAGAAATCTATAGCATCTATTAGTTATATTATATAAATAATAAAGAAGCACGTACGTATTATAATAAGGCTTGTAAGAGTAGCTCTTACAACTTATTTTAGGAGGAGGAAGTTATAAATTGAATAAGAGAGACTGTAGGTGCCTTAAGATTTTTCAACACCGGGATAAAAGGAGTAAGGCCTAGATTTTAGCCGTTGTCGAGGGCACAGAACTAGGCCTTACATCTTCACCCCTAAAGTACAAACTGGCCCAGATTTGGTTCCTAATAGGACTATAAACTTAGGTTAATCGCTGTATAGATTAATTCTACAATAAGCTGTAGTATAAAGCGCTGCGACTACGCCTACTAGCTTGGCCTTTGCTCCTAAGGCAGTGAAATCTGCTTTCTGGAGTTAAACAGACTGCAAATTATTATAAATTATATACCTTATCCTAACGTGCAGAGGCCTAGCTTATTCGTACTAATCGGTGGCGCAGCAAAATCGGTTGCGCTACAACAGCTTTTCGGTATAAAAAAACCCCAGCAGTCGACAATAAAATAAAGCACAGGCGAAGTGCATTTATATATAGATCCTTCCAGCATATTCCATGCAAGGCTAGTACTTATTGCTGAAGGTAACCTCCTCTTTAAGACTGTAAGGGGCAGGATTCCTTCTAATAAGTGTTATAAAATAACAAGACAATCCCTTTGCAGTCCCAGAGGTGGCGACCTAAACCGGATTGCAAGCGGTATCTACTCTAAGCTAATTTTCCCATTTACTAATGTTTTCTGCTTCTTTTGCAATAACCTAGATAGGCTTAAGGAAGTTGCACGCTATTTAGCTAATTGGCTAGAACAAGGACACTTATTAATACTTCCTAGAAGTACGCACCCACGGGTTGTTATTATAACTAAGAATATCCCACCAGGAGTAGAAAGCGAGAAGGGAGCGAAGACGGCCTTATTATAGCTGTTAAGAAAGGAAACGGCAAAAAATCTATTAGAATATATCTTAGGGATTAATATTATCGCCCTTTTCCCGAGCGGCGCTATATCTGTCGAGGCTTGCTATAGGGTTCTTAAGGAACGCCTTATAGATGCTTCTAACTAAGTGCGGAAAGCTAGGGAAAATAAGCGCGCCTTATTCTCTACAACTTATTTTATTACTTTTATTAGGAGCGCCTGCAAGCACTTTTCTAACAACTAAGATAGACCTTTTAACTTTGTTTAGACTTCCCGGAAGTATAATCCTGTAGCTGTAGACTTTAAAGAGCATTTATTTAATTTCCTTAACCACCTTAAAGCGCCAGGCGAACTAATAGAGTTTGCAGCCCCTATAATTATATCCAGCCTTCTCCTGGATAATTATCCACCGGACGCTTATTATAAGTCTGCCTAATTCTAATCCTGGAGGGGCTAACTACTATATAGTATTCCCACCTTAAAAGGTGTTTAATATACTGTATAAAACGTTCTTTTATAGGGTAAGTAAAGGCAAAGTAATACTTCTAAGTAGTTTTATTAACTTGGTTAAGAAAAACCTTTAATTATTTTTTAAGGAACTTACCTGGAGTAGTACGCCCGCTTTAGATATCCACCGGAAAAACCTTTATTAGTTTAAGACTAGCTGGTGTAGTCTTAACAGTACTAGTACCTACCTATACTGCTTATAACAGCAACCCCAGTATAGCTTACATTATAGTTATACTATTTGCGAGAATTGCGTACTAGTATTTAGGGAGTGCTGTATAGATAATCTATAGATATTTAGACTGCAATATTGCCTTCTTTGCAGAGCAGAGATGCCTAAAGAGCTAACAGTAAAGATTTACCCTCTAACGGCTGGGGTAGGAGTTCTCTATATTAATAGGGGCGGTACTAGGGGAGCAATACCCCTAAAACTAATAAAACGAATACAGGATTGTATTAGCTTGCTAATCCTATTTATAAAGTTCTTTAAAGTGGCTTTTAGAGTTAGTTCTAGTAAGTTGTTTACCTAATTAAAAACCTGCGCTAATTATCCTAGGAGGATTAATTGTTATAGATATATATATTAACGGCCGGTCTGTTAATAACACAACAAAGACTTTTATAAGGCTGGCAAAGCTAGTATTCCAGCCACGGAAAACTTTAAAAATCCCTTTCCTTACGCGTGTCCTAAGTTTATTAATATTTTATATTACTAACGGCCTTTATCCATCTAAAAATATTAAAGCGGTCTTAAAACAGGTATTTAGCACTGCGAAAGGCATTTTAGATTTCTCCCACGCAACTCGGGCCGGAATCCGCGTCGGTCTGCCAGTAGCTACAGCGCATATTAATCCGTTGTGTCGCATTTTCACAAATTACAACGGCGTTGGAGAGCGTAGCAAAGGTTAAGGTAAGGCTATAAGAGCAAGAATGAGCTTAAATATTTAGAGGCTAATTACAAAAGTAGACTATATAATAAAGCCTAATAATAAGGTTAAATAAATACTACTATAGGAAATGTAGGTCTATATATACCTAGCCAGACACTTACTTATAGAATTTAGAGCACAAGCTGCGTCTGCTGCCCCGGGGTACGTTACCCACTCTCTCTATCTTTCTATCTAACTTCTTTTAAGATTCTTTCCGCCGAAACATATCCGCGACGTTGGCACTTTTCAAGATGCAGGACCCCTTAAGAATAACCCGCTAATCTCGGCACTTTTAGAGGTAGCAGCTATATTCCCTTTTATTAAAGAACCTGACTTTATTGTCTCTTTAGGCACCGGTAAACTATTATCGACCACTTTAGAGCTGTCTATGGACGGCTCTTGCAGTATCTAGAAGAATAGCGCTTTTCCCAGATTATGTCGCCTGTTCTAGGAGAAAATACGGGATAGAAAGGTAAGGCAGGCATTTTAAGCACATCCTAGGTACCATCGGTTAAACATCGAATTTGACGATACGGAGCCAAGACTAGATAATGCGCGGAGCATCCCGGAATTAATGTTAAAAGCCCAAAAGGATCCCTTACTATGCGAACCAATCGACAATATAGCCCGCTGCATAATAGCGTCCCTATTTTATTTTAAACTAGAGTCTATTCCAGAGGCGTCCGACGGGAAATACACAGGCTCCGGTCGAATATTATGCTCCTTGCAATACAGTAACCCGGCATTCAGAGTGCTGTTTAATCGACTTTCAAGCGTCTCCGCTCAACTTTTATTAGACAATTGCCCTTTCGCCGCAGTCAACGATATTTCTAGTTTTAGCAGAGATGGAGAATTTCAAAAACATGTATATTTTTATACCACCGATCGATTCACAATATCCTTAACGCAAGATTTATCGGAACCTTCTAACATCAGCGGATCGCCTTTCTCGATACGTAGGTTAATATCCGCGCAAGGTTTAGACGCTTCATTTGGAAGTCCTGACCATATGAAGAGGAAGAGGCTGGACTACTCTAATAATCCAAGGAAGAAAAGGTAGCGACTAGGCAAGGATAGGCGCTATGTCTGTCCTCAACACACAACCGTTGTACCGCGTCCTGTGTGATTTCGAATGTTGAGTAATATAAGTTAGTCATTCTCTGCAGTCAATTATCCTGTGCGATCTCACATTCCATCCCGTGCAATTTCGTGACTTTTTCCGAGAAAATCTTCATCCTCTGCATGTTGTGTGATTTTAATTCCCATTTTAAGTAATGTAGTTATCCTATGCAGTTAATAATCCTGTGTGATTTCACCGCCCCGTGCATCCTGTGCAATTTCGTGACTTATTCTGAGAAAATCGGTCATCCCCCGCATGCTGCGTGATTTTCGCGGCTTTCCTCCCGTAACTTGGTCTAGTTGCTTATCCTGTGTGATTTCACATGTCATCCCTAGTAATCTAGTCATCCTGTACAATTTCAGAATTAATTCCGAGCGACACGTCTTATCTTAAGCAACTTGGTTATCCGTGCAAACATTTCCCATCTAACTAACAGTAACTATGTAAAAGCCATCAATCCAATCATATTAGGCCCCAGAATTTAAATCCCTGTAGACTAAACCCTTTACTTCACATTAGGGAGCTATAACTACTTAGAAAAACTCTGAAAGTTTGTTAGACTGCTAGCTTAGATGAAGTGTTGCGTTACGTGCCTCTCCCTGTTAATAAATCTATTCGTCCAAAACTCGTGAAGAAGCCGCCCGTCATTAATCCAAGCACATAGCATCCAAGAATCCAGCCAGCGGACATTGTAAAAGGCATTGGGATTTAAGTCGCAACGGGATCAAAAAGGAATATAGCTTGCATAAGGTCGCATGGTATACACTCTGCGAAGATTGTTTCCTAATAGTAGTATTTGTCCTGAAATAAGGCTCTCTTTCCATCGGACTAAATACGAAGAGCCTGCCGCTGTCTTCTTGAACCTCTGAATGGTATCGATTTGGCTGTTCGTGGTTAAGTTTTCTCTGGAAATTACATTTAGCTCTTGATTCTTTCCAGTCATCGTATGCTTACTGGAGATTGTCTTCGATGTCGGTAACTTTACTTATGGCTCGGATACTTTGCAGGTTGTCGAGGGGGGAAATAATTTGGAGTGGTGTCACGGTCTATATTACAAGACAGATATTAGGTAGAAGGCAAGGCGAACTGCTTTCCGGGCCCCGATACTAATTGAGACTGCAGCAACTGTAGGTCATGTGACAATATCGTCAGCTCCCTATTCGTTGCTTAACTGGTAGATCCCAGTTACTAAGGGAGTGGTACGACCGCCTAATAGGACGAGGTGTTATAGGTTACATTTGGTGGGCGCAGTGGCACAGCAAGATTATTACGGCACAGCAAGATCATTACGGCACAGCAGGATAGTGTTATTATAGAAATCGGTCGAGTTTTGTTCCCAACTACCTCTACCATACTCACTTTGGTCATGGCGGGCTCTCCGTGGACTGACTTTGAGATTGCACTTATGCTTTATTCCCTCCGCAAAGGCGTTCAACATGAGGATATCAAGGACACTCTCGCTAAGAACGGACCCGAATACGCTCGAACCCTTCCAGCCATTCGCAGTAAGTTGGCTGAGCTGCGAGATAACACTACACTCTACGATCCTACGACGAAATCATGGATTGCTGAAGGGGTGGATTCTCTGATCAAACGCCTACCACAATCACACCGAGAGTTTTTTGAGTAACAGAGGTACTGTTCCAGTCGGTGATTTATATCGCTCGTAGCGTTAACGGCTAAGAAAGCGTAGGACCGCTACACGTCCCTATAATACCTTCGGAAGAAACACAAGCAGGTCAGATGGAATGGAGGAGAGGGGAAGTCCCGGAGTATTATTGTTATAGATACCTGTCGGTGTACCTGTATAGTGTTCACGACAAGCTGTTAGGCACTAGACGTTTGCATGCGCAAGCATGAAATGTTTGTGTATTGTGTGCTTGTGGAGGATAGGCTTCCGCTAGTAACTATATCTGTAGCTTACCGCTCAACTCCTTCCTTATAAGCTGCCAAGCCAACTGAGTCGTAGTTACGGGATGCCGTGACGACGCGAACCAACTGTAGCTAATTGACGACGCGAACCAACTGTAGTCAATTGTAGTCACGCGTAGTCAGGCGGTGCCGTGACAATTGCCGGGCCTGAGAATCGTCTTATCCTCAAGACGTACAGAGTGAGCGGGTGTAGTCAACCACCCGCGGCCGCGGCTACCGCGACCACGACCGCCGCGACCACGAGTTGCCGCGCGAGTTGGCGATGAGGCGACTTGTGTTGGTGAACTCAGGTTGCCACTACTAGCGTGTCAGTGGCGTTACATCCTTCCATATCCGTAACAAGGGGGAACAGGGGAGTACCCCCCCCCCCTTTCATAGGCTATATATACGGGCCTTATGCCTCTTCAAATCAACACAGAACTGCTTCTTCACAACCTGAGAGGTGATGAAGCTGTACCGCCGCGACCTCCACGGGTTGGTGATGACGCTGTACCGCCGCGACCGCCACGGGTTGGTGATGAAGCTGTACCACCGCGACCGCCACGGGTTGGTGATGAAGCTGTACCACCGTGACCGCCACGGGTTGGTGATGAAGCGACCTGTGACTAGGTGCTTGTCCGGAGTTGTCCAGGGATTGTGACCTGAAATTGTTCCTTGATGGAGCATTTAGGTACGGATGTCCTGGTTGTCCTTCCGCCACCGGATGTTGCACTTAGACTCCCTGTGGGCCTGGGGCTTGTGCAGATTGTCCACGCTGAGGTTGTCCGAACTGTCCCTGCTGAGGTTGCAGAGGCCGTAGCCTGGTGAGGCCGTGAGGGCGTCTGAAGTAGAGTTCCGCTCAGGATGGGTTGATCGCAGATGATGTTGGAAGGGAGAGGTTTGTTTCTTTCGAGTATAGGCGCTTCCTGCCGTATCGTTGTCGCTTGCGCTTGCTGATGCTGCGTCTTCGACAACCACTGAGAATCGGAAACTGGTTGCTTTCCGAAGGGAGTCGGAGGCTCGTCGTGAGAGAGAAGGCGTGCTGCCGCTATGGCTGCACGTTGCTGAAGCGGATTCTTGCGACGTTCTGATTTCGTCCGGTCGCAGGATGTCCGAGCGGAAAGAGGAAAAGACTGTTGTGCTGGGCTGAGATCTCCGGATTGTCCTTCTCGGCTACTAACTGTTATAGATACCTGTCGGTGTACCTGTATAGTGTTCACGACAAGCTGTTGGGCACTAGACGTTTGCATGCGCAAGCATGAAATGTTTGTGTATTGTGTGCTTGTGGAGGATAGGCTTCCGCTAGTAACTATATCTGTAGCTTACCGCTCAACTCCTTCCTTATAAGCTGCCAAGCCAACTAAGTCGTAGTCACGGGATGCCGTGACGACGCGAACCAACTGTAGCCAATTGACGGCGCGAACCAACTGTAGTCAATTGTAGTCACGCGTAGTCAGGCGGTGCCGTGACAATTATAGTAGTTTGCAGAAAATAACTAGCCAAGTGCAAATTCTATTAACAGGGCTAGAGGTATCAAGCGTAACTGTAGATATTGCAATATTAACATTACAACCATAGACCAAAAAAATTCTCCTCTATTCCCCCATCCCAGATGCAACCGTATGGTGGATAGTATAGTGGAGAGGCCAGCCAGCGTCCATCGTCGACTGGTGTAGGAATGAACTGGTAGTGCAATATCCTCGATAACGAAGATTGGCACGTAGGAGAGCTTAGCGACTGAGCATAATTGTTTAAGACTGTACTAGCAATTAGGTTTAATATCTGGTAAAAGCCCTTATTAGACTTACCTCCGTCATTAAAGGTCGAGACTAGAGGAAAATCCTAAGTCTCAGTCGCAGCAAGCAGACTAGACGGGTCGTGATTAATAGATGCAGATTTAGGTTCGTAAGTTGGCGACGTGTTGGAAGGTAATCCTCTGTCTATGCCAAGCTTTTAGATAATTGCTTCCGTTATTTCCGCTCTTCTATCCTCCTTAATCCTATTTTTTACTTTGCTCTTGTCCATTAAGTAGTATTTAGACTTTATACTATCTTCCCTCCTTAATCTTTCTGGATGTACGATTAATTAGTAGACGTTCGCGACTTGTCCCTATATGGCGTTGTGTAGAAGCTCCTTAATTATCAAGATTAATTCCTCCTCCTCTTAAGTAAAGTGGGCTTAAGTGTACCCCATTCTCGAGTAACTAAAGGACGAGCTTAATTACCACCCCCCTATTCTCTCCGCATCACCCCCCTTTTCTCTTCCTGCCACCCCCCCTACATCTAGCCTAGCGCCGGCCCGTATTAATATTGTTCCACCAATCATATTCACTCACTATTTGTGCTCAATAAGGAATTTACATCAACTGCGCACTCGTAATGCATCAACACCACGTCCTCTACATCACCACCCTCACCGCCATGCCGCTCCGGCCGCCCCCCTGGGGCCGCCATGCATCCGTAGATGAGGGCATGAAGTCCGTCAACAATTGG